GGTGGGCGGGGCCGCGGGCCCGGTGAGCCAAGGGCCGGCTCCGCCCCCGTCGTGCGCTCCGCCCCCGCCACTTCCGCCGCTGCGCAGACCTGGCCTGGGAGGGGCGGGGCCACGAGTTCCAAGAAGGGCGTGGCCTTACTTGCGGAGAGGGAGGGGCCTGAAGGGCCTTTAGAGGGGCGTGGCCTGTGCTCCCAGCTAGCGTTGGAGAGGACTTGCGAGCAGCCGCGAGGTGGCAGTGGCTGGAAGTGGGGCGATCGGCGAGGTGGGTCGCTGTGGGACACCAGGGCGGGTGGGAGTGGAACCGGCTTGCCAGAGTGTGTGAGCCGATGATAGCTTTGCCGGACGAGGCATCCGCACTGCACAATGGGGTGCAGGAATAAGGAAGTGCACAGTGAAGGGCTTGAGCCGCAGAGCTCGGTGGGGGCGCTGGGTGGACTCCGCACCCCTGCGTGCGACCCGAGCGGGGCGAGGAATGGCTGGACCCCGAGCTCTGTGTGCCTGGGGAAACGGCTCTCAATTTAAGGAAATTTAAAAATAAACCTAAAGCAGAAATAGGTTTTTTTTAAGGTAGAGGACAACTTGGGGGTCACAAAACTCATTTTAGGTTAACAGTTACAAGTAGGCATTATTGTAAACTTTGCTTTTTCTGATTCATTTTGCATTCTTACCTTGTTTAGAAAGACTTTTATGCCCCAGAAATGACGCAGACAGGTGTACACGCCTAGAAGCCGTAAGACAAGCTAGGCAGTGACTGCATGCAGGATGGTGGTGTTGGTCACGCACCTCCAGGTTGCTCTGGCTGTGGGACAGAGATTGTCGTTGCCTTTGGTGACACAGATTTAGGAATACAGACCTAAGAAAAGTGTTTTTCTGGTCTCCACATAAATAGATACTTCCCAATTATTCTTTACCAAATACTTTGTTGAGAAGTGCAATAGTGGTGGAGGCGCAACTCATTTAACCCTCGGTGCTTTGAAGCCAAACAGTACAACAAAAGGGGAACTTTTCCTCAAATTCCTGCTTTTTTGTGGTGTTTGGTATGTCGGAGATAAATCATTAAGTTTGAAAGACCAGTAAGGTGTGCTAGCATAATCCAAACTAAATTAGTATTACTAACGACTTAAAGTTAATGTTGGAGTTGTGGTGTTTCATACGGCAAAGTTGACAGTGAAATATATTTGCCTTGTACAGTATATTCTTTTTTTTTTTTTTTTGGCGGAACCGGGGATTGAACTCAGATCCTTGCATTTGCCAGTCAAGCACTTAGCCTACTGAGCCATCTCCCCGGCCCCTTGTGTAGTATATTCTGATCGAACTGCGATTATGTTATTTGTTCTTTATTCTCAGTTGCTTTTACGTGCATTTTCCCATGCAAAAAAGCTATCAGAAACTTATCTAAAATACAACCTTAATAAGATATTTTATAATTCAAATTAAATATGAAAGTAAACCGTGGACACAAATACCAGCTCCTATTTTCGTTATGATTCATCACTGTTCTCTCCTGTGAAGGCCTTAGCTTTGTTTTTATTGAGGATCTGGTGGAGTAAAGTCTCACACTACGGTAAATTATAACTTATTAAAACAGTTTCCTCTTCATTGATGGACTGTGCTCTTTGGAAATTGGGTAATAAAATGTATGATTATTGTGGCAACAAAAAAAAATACAACCTTAAACCTTAAGAGTATAGAAATAAGATACTGAGCCCATACATCTATTGTTGCCTCTTTCTGAAACTTCACCGATAACAGAATTTTTTTTTTTAATACATAAAAAGTCATCATGATGCTGTCAGAGGCCAGCATAAGACAGGACAAATAAACTTTTAGTCCCTTAACCTGCTTGTTACTCATTAAAAACGTGATTGGTGTTCTCTTCCGAGGCAGTCAGAGGAGCTTTTGCTAAAACTCTTGACTCTTCACTTGGGCTTACAGATGCCCAGCAGGTAACTAAAAGCTAGACAAAACTTGTGTGCCATTTTGTACCCCATATTACCTTTAAAATGAAGATATAGGTGTGTTGATCATTTAAGAAAAGTTGTTAAAACTATCCTAACAATTTGATTTGAAACTGTCTCATTGCTATTTGCTTCTCAATAAAATTATGGAAAAAAAAAAGTTGACCAAAAAGTTTTCTTAGCCCTAAATTTATCTAGTCTATCTCATCCTCCTTCAAGACTGATGGCATTGGGCAGGCGAGATAGCTCAGTGGTCTAAAGCACCTGCTTAGGCAGATGCAGCAGCTGGGGTTCCATCCTCGGGGCACCCTGAGAGGGCGACTGAGACGGGGTGTGGTGGCGTGCACTTGTAATCTCAGCGCTTGGGAGACTGAAAACAGGAAGATCACTATGAGTCCGATCTGTGTGGTGAGACCCTGTAGACTCTGAACTAAATACAAAAA